AAATCATCAAAGAAATAATTCAAGAAATATACTTTCTATGTCTCCTTTAATTAAAAAAAAGTAATAAAAAAAGAAATTTACTTTCAAACAAATACCTGAGTTTGCAGAATTGAAGTCTACTCACTGAGACCTTAGCAAAATGGATAAAAATAGAACCACATCCAGACATAACATCATGAAATTTTGTAATACCAGAAAGGAAAGACCCTACAAGCTTGGGGGCTGGGGACAATTCAAACATAAAGGATCAGGAGGCATCACGGCTTCCACATCTCAATAGCCACCCTGACAGCTCTACAGTCTTCAAAGACCTGGACATCTGTGGCCAGCGTAGGGGTGATAAATAGCATGTACCTGGGCGTATGAATAGACAAGTGATAGACTGACCTCAAAACTGTGGGATCACTAAATTGGGGGGATTGAACTCTAGAAGGGATATGACTGAGATTTTGAGGGGGAGAGGTAAAGAAAAAAAGAGGTAAATCTTCATATTTCCTTGTGTGAAATGAATAGATAATACCTAAAACTAAATCCAAGAAGTACCGATATAGTCATATTATACCTGTCATGCAGGCTAATTGTTAAAAATACCTTTTTACTCTCAAAACTTTACCCTTTGCAACAGCATGGATGGACCTGGAGAACATTATTCTAAGTGAAATAAGCCAGTCAGAGAAAGACAAATACCGTATGATTTCACTCATATGTGGAATATAAAGAACAAATTGCACGAATACGCAAAATAGAGACGACTGCTAGATAGAGAGCTGGCTGACAGTTCTGGGGTGGGGGAGGTGGCGGGTGGAGGGATGGAGCCAAAAAGAAAAAGAGCTAATGGAAAGGACAGTGTGGGGACTGGGAGGGGAGCAGGGGTTGGGAGATGACTGGTAATGAAAAACTACAATAAAAAATAAACTATTAAAAATACTTCTTTTGACTCTCAAAATTATCCTCATTGGACATTATTTGGTCACCTTAATATTGCTCTCTCACACCTCCATGCACTTGCCCTTGTTATTCTCCTTATCTTGACTTTCCTTTCGCAACTGTCCTTCTGGAGCAAAAAATCCTTCACATTTCTGTACAAGTTCTAGTCATAAAAATTGTCTTGAACTAAAGGCTATTTCTCCTCTGCCTCACAACACTCCACACACAATTTCACCACAGCAGTTACCTCACTCGGCTGCAGCTGTTTACATGCTTGTCTCCCCCAAGAACGTGAGTTCCTGAGGGTGGGGATCAGTCTCCCCACCTCTGGTTCTCCTGCACTGAACACAGCGGCTACACAACGCAACCCACACAACAAAACCACACACACACACACACACAAAAACACCCACAGGCATAATTCCATTCCCATGTTCTGACTAAAGAGTGAAAGTTTGGGGTTGCAAACTGTTAGGTGAGTTTGAGTATCTCTATCGTCATATGTACTCGAACATGGGTAACCTAACACATGTGTACCTATTTCGGCAGCTAAGATAAATATACAAATTATTTTAACTTTAGACATAATCAGATGAAAATGCCAGATAGCAATGAAATGTTTTCAATTTAATAATAACATATAGGAATATCTTTTCAGCTCTTTTAAACTGAATTCACAGTGTTATCTTGCCCAGTTTCAAGGGAGGATGAATTGTGGCTGGGACCTCTAAGAGGAGTTAGACGAAAATGACTGGAAGTACTCAAAAATCTTCCCCCTTTTTATTCTAAATTCCTGTATTTATTGGACTAATCACTGTAGTTCTCAAACATGTATGCCCATAAGAATCACATGAACAGGTTGGAAAATAAAGATTCCCAGGACTACTTGGTGAGGCCCAAAAATCCGTATTTTTTTAAATCCAACATTCAATTGGTTTTTATTTTTAAAAATTATACCACCCAACTGATTTTCAGTTGGGGACTTTGAGATTGAACAGTGAGAAACACTGGAAATTAATGGGACTTCTTAAAAGCAAAGATACGGCACCAGGTCCGCTATAAACAATTATTATTTATTACAAGATCCCCAGTTATCTCTTTTATAGAAATAAATAAATAAAGGAACAAACAGTACAGTTAACTCCAAAACCGCAATGAGTCTGAGATTCTGTTCCATGCATATGTGTGTGTCTTTGTGTATTATATATTATATATATAATATGATATAGATTTATATCATACATATCTATTACTTTAGTATATATTATATACTGTACACTATATTCTATTTACATGTTACATATTATATATATTTATACTTGGTGTATAATATATATGTAATATATGATACACATAGACACATACATATATATTTATATTAAATATATATTTACATCCTCAGGGAGGATAATAACAGGTTAAATTACCTGATATTTCAGTGGGATAGAGACTTGGTATAAAACTAAGTTGCATTAAAGAAAATAAAGAAATGTAACCTTTTTGCGTAGTTGAGTACATGAACTATGATTCCTGCCTCACATACAGCTATGAGACTGACTGTGAAGCTGAAGAAATACTTTCCTTAAGAACACCTACTTAAGGAACAAAGGCTGTCAGAGTAAGAGATGTGCCCCACGCAGGTCCTCCTCTTTTCACTCCGGGCGGGGTGGCGGGGGTGCCCAAGCTGACCGACTGTTTCCTGTCTATGCAGGGAGACATGACCTGCCCATAGGCACCCAGCTTACACCAACACTCTCATAGGTAAAGAAGTTACTAATGGTAATGACAGCCACATTTAGTAATCAACCTACTCCTTCATACAATAAACATGAACAGCTAAGTATAACCACTTATTTGAAAAACTATTGCCACAAAAGAAATAGATCAAATAAACAGAAAACAACTGATCCAGGAGGAAACAAGGTAGACCCAGTAAGAGAGGAGAATTTTTTGATAATTTTCAATACTATTCTAAAACAGATTAAAGAATATATTGCTTTATAAGCTAAAACAAAGTGGTATGCAAAAAGGGAATAACAGAATAAGTCAGAGTCCATAAAAAATAAGAATTCAATTATAAAAATTGAAAAAAAATAGTTGAGTTGGGAAAAAAATGAAGTAACCCCAAAATGGAAAGCAATAAAACCAGAAGGTAAAATTCATTTTTTAAAAGTCCATAGTAGGATATAAATCCATGAAGTGTAACATCCATCTCAGAAGTGTCTTTATTGACAGAATAAAGAAAATAAAAGGGAGAAATAATCAAATAGAAGAAATCCCTAGACCCTAAGACATGGCTTTTCAGATAAAAGGGTTCAGAAAATGTGGTTCAGGATAAATGAAAAATAATCCATAAACACATCCTCATTGAATGTCCAAGCATCTCAATGGATGGTCCTTCTCGTTCTTTTCTCTGGATCCTCTTCTTCTCCTTGGTCTCTAAATGATGTGGCCCCAAGAACCTGTATTTTCACTTCTCTTACACATTTATACTCAGTTGCTAAATGATCTCAGCTACTCTCGACACTTTGAATGTTATCTACTGTATCTCTCCATTTCCAGCCTCTCCCCAAAGCTTCACAGATCAAATTGATTTCCTTTCTGCAACCTAACATACATTTCAAAGGTAACATCTAAAATAGAATTTTTATCTCAACCCCTACTCCAAATTACTCATACCCTCGTCTTCCCCATCTCATCGAACAGCAACACCATCAATCCAGTTGTTCAGACCATGAAACCATGAGTCATGCTTAACTATTTGATCCCTCATGATCTGCTTCCTATCTACCTGCAAGACCAAGATCTAGCATGAATTTATGGAAAAGGTACATCTGAGAAGGTTATTGATTCCCTAACACTATGATGAAGTTGCATTCCCTCTCTCTTTTATTCCTCACCACTCAGTTAGTATTAATTCTCTCTCTCATTCAAAGCAACACCAATTTGAGAACATGAGAATACATGCCTTTGTCTATGGTACGAACACTGCATGTTCTGCAATAAATACACACAAAAAAATACAGTATTTTTATATTTTGGATATTCATTTGAAAATTGAAATCATCAAAGTATGAAATAGTTATTTATATTTACTAAATTAAATGTAAATTCTATAAGCCTAAAAATGTAAAAGTAATAGAAAAGAGGAGTTAATAGGTGAAAATAGATGTGGAGAAATATAAAAAGCAATATATCGCTAATCTTACGCAATAGAAAATCAAGAGGCACTGTTGAAAATTTATGGATCAAGAAACAGAATTTTTTATGAAATTAAGTAACAAAAGGATGTTTTAAATGAGTCTGATAGGAACGGGGAAGGTGACAAGATAACAAGTATATCAGAGTTAAATTTTTCTCGTTTCATAGAAGGAATCAATAGCTTTTTTAAAATTGATACACTATCAAATACAGTACATGCATGTTATTTAAGACTTGGATTTAACCTCCAGAAAAACTAATGATAAATGGGTAAGTATAGTTATTTCTGATGAGTGGGAATAAAGGAAAATGTAGTAAACATTACTTTTCATTTAGCATCCCCTCTGCATTTGAATTTTTAATAGGGAGTTACTATTGCTACACATATTGCTGCTATAATAATTGAATAAAAATATATATGAGCGAATGTATGAATAAATAATAGAGCAAATTATCACATCCAATCTAGTTTTATGTCTAAATTTTCACCCATGTTTATCTGAGTAAGATTTTATAAGAAAGCACCCATTTTTTATCAAAAGCATAGAAGATACAAATACTGGTTTAGGATATTTTAATCCAGTTTTTATTTTTAATTCACTGAGTACAAAGATTGTTTAACTACTGTCTAGTCAACATATATGGATACCAAGATATGAATTTAATGAAACAAATTCATTAAAATGATCCTTTACATCTAGAACTAGAAAAGCTCAAACAGTGATTCACTGTAATTTATCCCCTCAAAGAACTGCAGGACTATGGACCCCTCTGAAGGGGACGCAGCAATTTTAAATGCAGTAAATATTCCCACTGTCCTAATGCTACCTCTTGTCCTATTTCTATGTTTATAAACATGGCACTATTTTTACCTTGAGTAATGCATGGCTTGGTGACCTGCAATATTAAAATAGAAGTCTGTTGTGTGCTTCATCTCATTTGTGTGCCCACTGGCCTCGATCCAGTGGCCTATTGGGAGACAATAAACACCATCCACCAAGTTGTTTTCATTATAAGTACAGCAACGGTCATGGTGAGGCCCACTGCCTGGAACAAGAAAAAATAAGAAACAGAGCAATTAAATCAAAGTTTTGCATAAACAGTCACAAAGTCACTGACACAAAATTAATAGTAAGATGATAATAAACATAAAACTGCATAATCTACACATTTCAATGTTAAAAAATAGACTAGACTGAGGGGGGAAACAGTAGAAATTTGTAAAATGGTAGTTATGAATGTCATAGAATTCTGTTCTTTTGAGTACATGGACATTTCCAAAAGCATATTAACTCTCAGAATTTCATGGTACTTCTCAGTGCCTTAAGAGCCTCTTGTGGATTATTTTACAGCCTAATAAGCTGCTGAAAAGGGTCCTTAAAGCAATTAATGTCGCTGTCTTACATACTTTTAATTTTCTGGTATGTAAATTCATGATTAAAGTCAGCAATAGGTCTTCCGGTCAAGATGGCAGCGTAGGTAAACACATCCTGCTTCCTCACACAACCACATCAAAATTACAACTAGACTACAGAATATCCATCATTCAGAACTGTCAAAAATCAAGTTGAATGACAGTCCTACATGGAATAAAAGAAGAAACCACATCGGGACTGGTAGGGGGGTTGGAGACTCAGAACAGCCTGGTCCCACACGCACATGTGGCAGACAAAAGTCAGGAGGGATATCTCAGAGGGAAGGAGTCCCAGCCCCACACCAGGCCTCACAGCCTCGGGTTCCAGTGCCAGGAAGCTAAGTCTCCATAACTTCTGGCTGTAAGGACTGGCAGGGATTGAATCTGTGGAAGACAGAAACTGCTGGCATCCAAGGCAGTTCCTCTTGAAGAGCCAATGCAAAGACTTACTTAGACTCACTCCCTTGGAGCTCCAGTGCCAGTGCAGCAGATTGAAAGGCATCAGAAATATATGGGGAGGAACTGAATTGTCTGGCGTCAGGGTGAGAGCTGGGGGGCGGCATTCCCCCGGTCAGAACTGCTGACAGAGGCCACTGTTCCTTTTCCGAGCCCTCCTTGCACAGAGTCAGCAGGTGGGGGCCATATACGAGATTCCATCAACCCTATTCACACTGTTTGCTCCACCCTGGTGATTCTCTGTGGCCCTGCCCCACCCAACTATCTATCAGGTCCACCCAACTGTCAGGCCCACCCAAGCTGTTTCCAGTGGCTCTTTCCTCTGAATGCCTTGCTTTGGCCCACGTTTCAGATTTTCCAAAATTGCTCTCAAATGCCTCTTGCTAAGTTGCCCCAGGCCCAGCACTACAGCAGCCAGCCTTGGTTCATAGCTAGGCCTCTCCTGGCACCTCTAAGTCCAGCACAAAGTAGCAGCCATTTGCTGATCACTTTGTAGTTAATGCTTTATTACCCCGAACAGAAAGCGGGCAGTGGCTGACCTTGGACATGCCAAAAGCAATCAAGGCTCAACTAAAATAGGAGCATGTACACAGCCCGTACAGTGGACACACCTTACGTACCCAGCTTGGGTGATAGGGAAGGCCTGTGCCACCGGGCCCTACAGGACACCTATTAGGTTAAGCCACTCTATCAAGCCTGGGAGATGTAGTAGCTCTACTCAATACATAGAAACAAACACAGGCAGGCAGCCAAAATGAGGAGACAAAGAAATGTAACCCAAATGAAAGAACAGAACAAAACTCCAGAAAAAGACCTAAACAAAATGAAGAAAAGCAATCTATCAAATGCAGAATTCAAAACACTGGTTATAAGGATGCTCAAGGAACTTAGTGAGGACTTCGACAGCATAAAAAAGATCCAGTCAGAAATGAAGGATACACTAATTGAAATAAAAAACAGTTTACAGGGTATCAACAGTAGAGTGGATGAAGCCGAGAACTGAATCAGCACTTTCAAACATAAGCAAAAAAACAACCAATCAGAACAGCAAGAAGAAAAAAAAAATTTTAAATGAGGATAGTGTAAGGAGCCTCTGAGACAACTTTAAGCAAACCAACATTTGCATCATAAGGGGGCCAGAAGGAGAAGGGAAGGAGCAAGAAATTGGAAACCTATCTGAAAAAGGAATGAAACAAAACTTCCTTAAGTTGGTAAAGGAAATAGACATACAAGTCCAGGAAGCTTAGTGAGTCCCAAACAAAACGGACCCAAAGAGGGCCACTCCAAGAAACATCAAAATTAAAATGCCAAAGGTTAAACACAAAGAGAGAAACTTCAAAGCATACAAGGGTGCCCCCATAAGATAGTCAGCTGATTTCTCAAAAGAAACTTTGCAGGTTAGGAGGAACTGGCAAGAAATATTCAAAGTGATAAAAAGCAAGCACCTACAACCAAGAACACTATTCCCAACAAAGCTATCATTTAGAATCTCAGGACAGATAAAGGGATTCCCAAACAAGAAAAAGCTAAGAGTTCATCATCACCAACCCAGTATTAAAAAAAAATGTTAAAGGGACTTCTTTAAGAAGAAGAAACATATCAAAAATATGAACAGAAAATGGCAATAAATGACATATCTATCAACAACTGAATCTAAAAATCAAAATAAACAAGCAGAACAGAAACAGAATCATAGATACAGAGAACATTTTAATGGTAGCCATGTGGGGGGACTGAAGAAAAAGGCGAAGGGATTAACAAGTACTATTTGACAGTTACAGAATAATCCTGTGGATGTAAAGTCCAGCACAGAGAACAGAGTTGTCAAAGAACATTTACGTAGGACCCATGGACATGGACAATTGTGTGGGGACTGCCTGAGGGAGTGGGGGCACTGGGTGGAGGGGGACAAAGGGGGAAATTTTGCAACCACTGTAATAGTGTAAACAATAAAATAGAATTTAAAAAAATAAAAAATAAATTCAACTAAAAATACAATCAGTTATAAAGTGTTTTTGTATCAGCTCAAAAGTAAACACATTTTTTAAATGAATACATTATTAAATAAATAAAAAAGTGATTGCATCCTGTCTAGTTGGCAAGTGAATCAGTGGTTAGTATCATTTTCAGATGGGAAACTAAGAATCACAGAGATTAAATAGCTTGTCCAAGGTCGCAGAACTAGTAAGTGCAGAGCTGGTGGTAACCTGATGCCCCTAGTCCCCGCCTTTCCGAAACCTGGTACCTTCATGCTGTTTTCGGCCTTTCTCACAAGCACTTCACACACCATGCCCAGTATCGACTCCACTTTACTTCTATGAAATATAAATCATACATTATTTTTATTAGCAATTCTCATGTCACTACCCCATTTCCCATTATTCCTTTTTTTAAATTACTGAATTTCCATAATTGTCATTAATAAAAGAATAAGCAAAATAAAAATAGGAATAAGTCACATTTGTTATGAATATAAAATTTTGACTCATTTTTGCCTTACTCTGTCTTGCAAAATATTTAACTTAAAGTTATTTGGCATAAAATTTCGAAAAAAAATCCTTAGGTCATTGGTCAGTTCTTGAAGGATATAACTCCCCTCCACCAGATAGAAGGTACAGGATGGCTTCCTTTATAAATCATCACTGATCTTCCTGGATCATACTCCTCTTTTGCTCTTGATAGCTACAAGACACTACACCAGCTAGCTGCCCTATTAACCTTGATATTTAATACATGAAAACCAAACTATACTAGCAATCCCACTTCTAGAAATATACCTAAAATACTAACAAGAGTAAAGGAATATACATACAGAGATATATGTATGTGGCAATAGTATTTTAATAGCAAATACTGTAACCTATATAAGTGTATTTGTACATTCTTCCACAAATATTTGCATGCCAACTATATGACAAGCACTGTGCTAAGTCATGTTAAGGATTTAGGTATTTACCACAAAAGCAATTAAACAATTGAAATACTTTAAGCAGGCAGGTGACATGGCCAAATTTGTACTTTGAAAAGGTCTCTCTGGTTACAGAGTAAAACATTAATTCAAGGGCAATGAGACTGGAAGCAGAAAATCCATGGGAGGAGATGAAGAAAGCCTAGAGGTAGAAACAGAAAGGAGTGGGCAGACTCAGTAGGAAAAAGCCACACAACTTGGTGACACATTAGATATAGGAGGCGAAAGAGAAAGGGAATCAATATGCTTCTAGCAAGTATAACTCAATATATAGTGGTTTCATTCACTGATAGGTGAAATCTGGAAAAGGTTGGAAGGGAAGCTCATTAGTCTGGCTTGGCATGTTTGGCTTGGAGTATTGTCTGGATATCCAAAACCGGATTTCAAATAGAGAGTTTGCGTTTCTGATTTGACACTTAGACTAGAGACCTGAACTAGGAAAATAAATGTATGACTCATTTGAATGCAAATGGCAATTGAAACAAGGATATAGATAAATCACAAAGAATCAAAATATAGATTGAGAAGAAAAGCATTCTAGAACCAAGTCTAATAGCATCCCAACATTTAGCAACTGGATGGAGAAGGATGAGCTTACAAAGGAGGTGCAGAAGGAGAAGCTGGAGAGGAAAGCTAGGAGTAAGTGTGGTAGGGGAGCATGATTAAAGCTGGAAATGCAGACTAAAGGCTGGACGGATGCATGTCTGATGGTTAACGGTAGTTATATGAGGAGAATGGAATTGGGATGGGCTACAATTTTCCTTTAAACTATTCTGAATTCATTGAATTTGCTACAAAAAAAGTGGGTATTACTTTTTAGTTTAATAGAAGAATAATATCTATGTCTCCCACTGTTCAATACAATAGACTTAGAACAATTTAAATGATATGACTTAAATAAATGGAATTATTGAGGATGTCAAATATATACAAATTACAATGTTCAAGAAAAATTGTTTATGTAACATCAGCTTCCTAAGAATTCTTCATCCCTAGAATTGATTTATTTAGTCACTTATTTTTATACACACATGTTTTTAGGTAACTTTTAAAAGGATCTTTCATATATAGTAACCTGGGAAATGCAAATTGTCCTACAGTAAGTGTTTTTAGAGGGTTAGTCATTGTCTTTTGAACTTAGTTTTTAAAAATAGCAAAAGTGAACAATAAAATAAATCTTGTTTTTGAGGATTTTTATATCAGTGACTG